AGTTACTTATGTTTGATTACTAATTTGAAATGGATGAGTATCTTTAAGCCTGAATATATCAATGCTCTGAATATATATCAGTTAAGGAGTAGTCTTTTGGTGGAAAGTAGAAAAATATTAACCAGAAAGTCAGTTGATTATTAAAAAGACAGTCTCACAATGCCAATCAATGAGACTTCCTTAATAACTACTGACACCACACAGTCTAGGGAATTTCAATTAGCAGTTAAGTTTTTCCAGTGCTTCCTCCCATTGGTTCAGAATTAATAAAACGTGTTTATGTATTGCCTTGAATAAACAGGAAAGTACAGATAGTGCAGTATGAACTATAATTATATATCCCTAATAATCTGTTAACAAGAAAATCCCATATATTCATCTGCTTCTCAAATTTAAGTAACTTTAGTCAACATCTCGGTAACAACTACTTAAAATTTTTGTGCAGTGTACTTTTTATTTTATCTTTTATCCAAATTTTATAAAAGAACAAAAATAGGTTCTTTGGAATGCTTCCCAAGACTTTATGTCATGTACAAAAATATGTCATTAAAATCATTTTGGAAGTACTCATGTCAACATTTTAGTATCTCATAAGGTGAAGCTGTAAAACACTGCACTACTCTTAACTTCATTTTAACATATAAATTTCAAAGCAGAGATAAGAAAATGGGAATTAGATAGTTAATTTTTTTTCTCTATTTGCATCCAGAGAAATTAAACTTGCTTCCACTGGAGGAAAGTATAAAATGGAAATTTTGTTGCAATGGGAAAAGAAAGGAGAAAGGGGTAGAAGCTAAGGAACTAGGTGAGAGACGAGGGCTATTGTAAAGGGATAACTAGAGTTTACTAGATGTAATCTAGCAAGGATACGGGACAATCCTCAGAACTGATACAGATCTAAAGAGTTTTGTTAGACTAACGTTTATATTCCAGTACCTGAAGAGAGCACTTTTGAGACTACCAGATCATTCCTTGAAAAGTTACTCCACAGGCCATTAAGCGCTGTGCAGTGGGAGTTGGATCTCATATGGCCAACAGAACATCAAGACCCAGCCGCAGTGGACTGAAAATATACATCAGGTGCATACATGCATGTCCCAAATCCTGACAGGCTAGAGAATGGAGGGGAAAAATAATTATGGTGTGTGTGTTCTCTCTCTCTCTCCCTTTGGCAATTAAAAAAAAAAATCACTTCATAAAGAAAGCTCTTGAGTTTCTAAGTATTTCTAAAGATTGGATAAAAATATATTCTAAGGTTCAGAGTAATAACAAAAACAATAATAAAGAAGGCAGATAACATGAAAAAATACTTCCAGAAAAGAAAATAAACTTGTAGAATCATAAATCAATTTAGAACCTGCTTTGGCACATATCTAAGTATAAGGTCAATAAAGAGAATGCTTGAGCTAATTCTGACTCCAATAACAAAAACTGCCTATACAGAATTTAATTCCTCTGAGAGGTGGAGGACTGAAGGAAAAGAATGAATGAGATATATCCTATCCTGGTAGATAAATAGTTGCTGGACAAACAAATACAGATATTTCATAAGCATTTCTGATATTACTACTGATTATCTAGAAATCACCCTACTATTTAGTCATAGAGGGTTAAAAGAAACTTATAGCCAAGATCTATTGCTTGAAATACATACATGCATATTCAAAATATAAACTTTTTGCCTTTTGAACTGTTGTAGATCTAGAATATATGTCTCTGTCAGGAGTGATCAAAGTCTACATATAGAATCCAGAAACTAACTATATTCTAAATATTCAACGGTAATGAAAGCACCTTAAAAAAAAAAAAGTGATCCAGCCTCCTTTATTTTTTATTTATTTATTTATTTTTTAGAGGTTTTTGCTATAGGGTGCATGCACTCGTCAGAGAGAGAGAGACAGAGAGACAGAAAGCAAGAAATCGTCCCCCAGGAGTGATGGTCATGCCATAATCCCTTCTCCTCCATTCTCCTCTAGGAATTTTGGGCACGCATGCACATGCGCCCAGCATGAGTTCAAGCTACTGGGTCCAGGACTTGAACCACAGTCGACTACATGGGAGTCCAGTGACATAGCCATTACGCTAACTGCTGGTCCCCAGCCTCCCTTATTTAGGTTCAAATCAGATTTTAAGTTTGAAAAACTTGGTAAAGTACAAATACTATCATTATACCTTATCTGAAGAATACTCTCCACATTCAAATTCCAAACTACAGTGGAAAAGGTAGAATAAAATTAAAAAGATGCCAAAGAATCAAGTGTTATCCAAGTTTGTTTAATACAATAATTTACTGGAAAAAAAATACATTTGATCAAGCCAAATCTGTTTTACAGAGAATTCCAATAGTATTACTTAAATACCCACATGCATATACATATGTTATCACCACCATAACACACAAAAAGTGCAAGATATGCCATGAACATATGTAATAAAATCAGCAATAATTGAACACTAAGCACAAGAAGAAATGAACTATTTAAAAAACAGGCAAGCTTTCTCTGCTAGGGAGAGGCAAAGGACAGGTGCCACAGGAAGGTTAGAAATCCTGTCCCCACTTCCAAACCCTACAATAAAACAGGCAAAAGTCATCAACAACCACTGAGCAAAGGCAGGAAAACAACTCTTATAAGATCCCACACTGATCCAAAGCAGAGATCTAGGGAAAAGGCAGGAACCTTCCCTATGCTCAAGTTCTTCCACCTCAACCAACATGAGACAGACTTCACGTATGGGTTGGGGAAAGGGACAGAAAAACCTCCTACACCCTGAAGTAAGAGATACAAGTTGTTAGCTTCTGGGAAACAGATAGGAACACTAAGCACCAGACTGAGACTCAGGCACATAGACCTTGCTAAGATGGCTCTTTTTTTTTTTTTCTTATGCTTTTGCCAAAGGGTTCATGCACTCACTGGAGAGAAACAGAGAGAAGGAATGTGAGAAATCACGCCCCCCCTCCCCAGGGGAAATGGCCATGCCACAATCCCTTGTCCTCCATTCTCCTCTCAAGATTTTGGGCATTCATGTACAAGCACTCTGTGATTTTCAAGTCACCAGATCCAGGACTTGAATCATGGTCCACCAAGTGGGAGTCCAGTACTTTAACCACCATGCCACCTGCTGGTCCCAAGACTAATGCTGGCACAGAAGAACAAAGAAACACCCGTGCTCCCACCATATCCTGTTACAAGTGAAAAACAAGAGCAGTCTCTCCCTCACCTGGGGAGAGCCAGCAAGAGGAAACCCCTGTGGCTCAGGTTTGTAGAACTTGAAAAATCAAGGTGGGATAAGAATACTTAGAAAAATTCCTCTAGCACTCCAGGCCTCATACTAAGCCCAAAGTGGCAATGACATTTCCAACAAAGTAATACACGACTAAAGGAATGTGATGTTTCTGGTAATGAGGGCAACAACAAAATCCAAAACAAGAGCAAATTACAGAACTAATACTTAATTCCACACACTAATAATCTAACAGGAAAAGAGGTATAAATATTTCTGGGCATAAACACTGTTTGTCTCATTCTCTACTTTTATGTTCCAAGGATGTCCAATATTCACACAGTAAAACAATAAGCCGGAAAACAACAAATCCATCATCAACGTAAAATAGTCAACAGAGGGACCAGCAGTTGGCGTAATGACTATGTTGCTGGACTCCCATGTAGTCAACCATGGATCGAGTTCCGGACCTGGTGGCTTAAACTCACGCCAGATGTGTGTGTGTGTGTGTGTGTGTGCCCATGATCCCAAGAGGAGAATGAAGGAGAAGAGATGTGATGTGGCCATCCCCCCAGGGGGTGATTTCTCACTTTCTGTCTCTTTCTGGCGAGTGCATGCGCCTATAACAAAAACCTCTCAAAAACACAAACAAAACACAAATATCTACTTGCTCGCAGAAGACAGACTGTGACCATCTCTGTCAATCAGAAAAGCCACAATTCCAGATCCACTTCCAAAATAGATGCATGTAATATAAGTGTTAAGCCACTGAGCCAGCTCAACGTTGTATCTTTTGACAAAATACATTTTGTAGGTCATGTTCCATCAATGTAGTTTCACTACAGACAGCAGAGAGTGAATAACTCTACCCTTTTTTTTTTTTTTTGAGAGATTTTCACTGTAGGGCACGTGCGCTCGCCAGACAGAGAGAGACATAGAG